TATAAGTGACATCACTTCCGGTTTTAAATGTCTTCTAAACAGGGCACCCTCAAAAAAGTCTTGTTGTGTCAACCCGATCAAGTTGACCAGCCTGTCACTTCCCCCCTCCTAATTTTTTTTTTCAAATTATTTCAAATGACGTCGCTTCCGGTTTTGTCGGGTTGACACAACCCGACGACTTGTTTGAAGGTGCCCTGTTTAAAAAAAAAAACTGACATGAAATACATTAGCATTATCTATAACCACCGATGGAGATGASTAATAAATGTAACCTGGGGTGGGGAGGTTTCAAACAAAATTGCTTAAATAGCGACATGGTCAACCCGTCAAATACATTTGTCAACCCGTGTCATGTCGGAGTGTTGGACAACCCTCTATTCTGCACCTCTAACTTTGTGACACCATGTCATGTTCCCTTGACATAATCCTGCATTTGTGGAACACATATAATGCAACCTAAAAAATTAACCAGGAAATATAARTTCCAAGTCACAAGAATGTTTCACTTTGCTTGTCCATTCACATAGCAAACAATGCAATATCAATGATAATGTTCACTAATGGTTTCCTAATGATTCACTCAGAGGGTCTGATCAAAACACATGTAACCTAAATTGGCATCATACATAGGCAATATGCATTATAAAATCATTTATCTATGACTACTCATAATTTTCTTGCAGTAGTAGTAAATACTGCCTATTGCATTCAAACAATTATTTGTGATAAATCTATATTTGGGTATTGCATAAATTATTCATATTCGAACGTAAGTCCATACCTTTTTAGGCTCTGGCCCTTGGCACGAAAGTGAGGAAGGGCTGTGAAGTGTGCCTCACACAAGTTTGAATGCCCTCTTCCCATAACTGGATGAATAATCGACTCTGCATCATCAGCACKCCGCCTGCACTCTATTTCATAAACAGCTCTGTGAAATTCACAGGTGAGGGGAGCTTTGGTTGCATACGGTTTTCCTTCGCATTTCGGCTGTTCATCTGGGTCACACTTCTTGCATGTGCAGAGCCTTGATGGATGAAACCCACACGAGGCATTTTTCCATTGATGGATGTCTCTTGAATGGTATTTTGACAAAGCAATCATTCTTCTTGAGTATTCTGCAGCACTATCTGATTGCTGCAATATGCAGAAGTGGTTTATTCTGGCATTTCTGATGAATTCGTCTGACATACAGCCACACTTCTTTTTGTGTCGTTTGCAATGACACCTACTATTCACATTTGTGATGTCAGCATACTTCTTCTTCAAGTCTGCTGAAAGTTCCTTTTTTTTGGCAAATTCTTTCAACTTGTTTGTATGTGCCCTACTGACATGGCCTCCACATTTGTAAACTTTGGCCTGAGGGTGATGCAGCTCAACAGCATTTGAAGAGCTGGAGTCTGCATCCTGCCACACAGTGTCCACCTTGCATCCTTCTTGCTTAGCCTTACGGTAGCACTCATCTGCCAAAACACCTTCCATGGACTTCGCTGTGCCCTTATAAACATCCTCCTCTATGATGTCATCATTTCCACGCATACACTTGTGACCGTACCACAGCAATCCGCCAGAAATGTAATTTTTGATGATGAWTGAGCCATTTTTGCTAAAATAGCCTCTGGTATGCCATACGCCATCCGATGTCACTACAGCTTTCTTCCAGCTTCCAAGCTCATTTATCTGAAGACCCTTCATTCGATCTTTCTCCTCTTCACATTGTCCATCCAAAATGGCTGTAATGTAAAGGTAAATCAATTTGATCACATCATAACATCTGTTCTTTGATAAACAGCTAATACCAAGGAAATGCTTTAGTGTTTTTTCAAATTTTGCAAATCCATGACCAGAAATAAAGAAGGCCACTGCTAATGCCAGACCAACAACTGTCCTCTTTGATCCATCTACCAGTGCTGATCCTTGGAAAGTGACCTTTCTCAATACACAGCCATTGCACTCAAATCTTGCATTCAAAGATCCACCAAGACCAGTTGGTTCAACTTTTGTGAGGACAAGAATTCCTAAAATAAGCATACTCTTGGTTAAAAGCAATTCAAGAAAACAAGGAAATACAATAGAAAGGCTTCAATGGGGCCATTAAAATAAAGCAAAAGACTGCCAAGACATACAGTACATACTAGTATTTATACATACATGTATCTATATCTCAAGGGGGCCAGTAATTTTTGAAATGTGTGCATACATGAGCAGTAATTTATCAATAGATTAATAGAATGTAGTTCTAGAGTTTCGATTTGATTTATTGTTTTGTTGACTACTAGCTGGTTTCGTATGGAACCACAACCAACAGCAATAGAAGCAAATTCGAAATAAATTTCCCTCCTAAAAAAAACAATACAAAACCTTACTTACCATTGCAATCGATGAACATCTTGAGTTCTCATTTACTTGCTGAACTAAGTCCATCAATTGACTGCTTTCACACACGAACAACCTTCGCTCCATCGAGACTCCCATGTCACCCCCAATACTTTTTGGATCTTCCTTTTCTTCTTCAGACGTTTGAACATATTCATCTGATTCGATCTCTTCGGCAGTGCTGCTGGATAGTTTATCATTGCCACACTCCTCCATGCCCCTTTCTTTGAGTGCTTTTTTGACTGCTGTCCCTGTCTTGTAGAGAGTTTTACCTGGACTTGTCACCTRGAGTCTCAGCTCTTCTCCCCTCAAATAAGTACTTTCGCGCCAWTTTGAAGGCAAATTCACCGTCGTTCTACTTACTAGTCCTTTCCCCCTCGATAATGCACTCTTTTGACCTCTCTCTATGGCTTTTTTCTTCCGATCAAGCTTGGATAACTTTTTTCTCTTTTTCTTACTCGACGTCATGTTTGATAACACATGAGTTTGAAAAGGCACGTGTCAAGTTTCAAATGACGTCAGCCATAGCAACGGACAAAACAGAGGCTTTAGGGGGATAGGGTAATGTTGAAAAATGTATAAACGCCCGTAAAATTGTGAGACAGCGGATATCTTTAACAAACATTGCTTCCAAAACGGCGAAGAACATAATTCCCGTGAATTTTCGACTTTTACATCGCGAGTTTCGATTGCAATATGATACTTTTTAATTATATCTTATGTGAGTGTTCTTAAAAAAYAACATTGTGTGACAAATATGAAGTATTTTCGCCTGATTTTTGCCAAATACCTGCAGTAAGTATAGACGAATAATCACAGTTTTGCGCCCATCGTTCAGCATTTTCCTTCTCAGTATATAAAATTGTAAAGCCGAACTAATGGGTCAAAAACAAAAAATCCAGGTGAAGACACAAAAAGTGCTCAGAATTGTGGTCGCAAAACTATGACAATGAGCCTCTACATAAAGAACATTATTCAACTTCTAAATTTCAAAAATAGTTAATCCTTCCCCAAAAAAGGGAAAAAAAGAAAATTCACCTGTACATGTGAGCTAATCCAATAACACCTTACTGGGGCCGATGTTCTGCCAAACTTGGATGGAACGATTCGGGATAATATATATTTTGATATTATTAAATCAACATGAACACTGAGATACTCTTTCATTTTCAAAACTTTTTCAAAATGACACAATTTTTGCCGGGGCAAATGTCAAAATGCCAGTAAGTCGAGTCTTTTAAAACTCACTTACGCCGAGAGCAGTTTAAGTTTAAAGATGTCGAGCATTTGGAGGACATTCTATGTTCCATCTAAAAGCGAACCGACCACCAGTACACCCAAGAAAACAAAACAACGTAGGTTTTATGAATAGAGGCTTCTTTAAGTTCTTTAGCAGAATTGCAATTTATAATTTTTTCCCCTAAATGATTTTCATGGATTTTCTGATCAATTCACAGTTGAGAAAACTCCATACGCACCAGAGGGTTCTCTCATTACCGAAGCTTGGTTAGAATAAAGGACCAAAGAATGGGAAGCAGTGGCCATGTGTGCTAAAAGACTTGTCCAAAAGTCGTTGAAAGCAGAAGTCAAAACGTATTACAAACGATCTAGTCTTAAGGCTATAACTGCAAGATGTAAACGACACTTCAAAGAACCACTCAAGTTCAAATTAAGCTGCAAAAAGAAAGTGAAACACTTGAACGCCAACCTAGATGAACCAAGTGATGATAGTGCTGATGACGAAAAAAGTCACAGGAATATGCATTGAGCTCCAAAGACAGACGAAAGCGTCAAATGAATTCCAAAAAGCGAAAGCTTGAAAATAATGACAACGAAATAGATGTGACGTCAAACAAAGTAAAACAAGTAAGGTAAAGGTCTGGCATTGCGTATGTTAAGCACGGTACAACCAAAGATAAAAGCCTATTTCTGACAGTGTATATTGCTCTTTTCTCAGTGTTCGTATGATGTGGAGGCATTTGTTAGCTTTACCTGATTTATTTCTCACATGCATGCTGAATTTGAGGTTGCAGCAGATATGTTGCTGCATTGGGGAATGTTCTTGACCGGTGAATACTCAGAATTGTTGGTTTTCTTATTCCTCCAGCCTGTTAAGTACAAGCAACTCTCAAAGAAGCTGATAATGTCCTTCTTTATCTGTAGAAGAAATACGAATATCGTCAATATAACATACTACTCATTTTAATTTCTACTCCCTTTTGAATTTCAATCATAACACGTTGAAAGATTTGTAGGGCATCCTCCTATACTGAAGTAGACCAATAGATGTGTGTTGACTGTCAAAAGTTTCTTTACTCCATCAATCAGCTTGAGATTTGGGAAAGCGTTAGCAAGATCAATTTTTGAGAAATATAAGGTACTTGAAACATGTAACGCCATGCCAACCGTTTTTACATCTCATTTAATACTAGCTCATAAAATATCAGCAGACGAATACATAATCAATGACGACAAACACCATGTGAGTTGGGCCTCAGACGGGCAGTATGTATATTTACCATTTGGTTAGCAAATAAAACTGCCCAACATTGTCATTGGTGAAAGATTATTAGATATTAAGTCGTTTATGTATACTATCTATAGTTATAATGTATCTAAGGTAATGTTTAGTCTTGTGTGAGTTTGTATGGGTTCGCATACTGGTATGCAATAGAAGCATACTGTTTTGTGGGAATCTCCAAAAATAGGTTCAAAGGTGAACGAATGTACCGTTTGTAACAATCCGATTTCCATCGGCCCAGTAGTTGGATTTCGTAATCCGTGAGTCCTGCGAGTGATGCCGATGTGGCGCCACCAATCCTGAAGCTATGACCACTGTATCGAGACGGGTTTAGCCCGATAAGAAGCAGTAGCGAAGAGACAAAATCCATCAATGCTTGTCGAGAATTAGGTAGACCATTTGTAAGTCTGAATAGAGGAGATGATGTCGTGAAGTCTGTTCTCAGATGTTGCAGTTGGAGATTCTTCTTCATTGAGCACAAGGCACAGACACGGTGCCCAGAGTGGGACAAATATAGAAGTGTCCACTTGCCAACCTGATCTGTCTTTGATCGTTTGATGTATAGTGAAAGATATTCTTTCCTTTCGGGTGTTGTTTGCAATCTGACGTCCTCCATTGTCAAGTGTTTGTTAGGATCAAAACGTTCCCGTTGTTGAACTGAAAATTCCCCAGCCCGTAGCATTAGGAAATGCGCTGTAGTTATGGCGGACCAGCAAACGCTGTCGTCCAGCGAGCTGGTGTTCAAAAATTGAGATGTCTTACATAAAATGTCGAATGTTATAGGTAGTTTCTTGTTAGGTTCTTTGAAGTGTCGACGTTCGATTCCACGAAGGATTTGCTTTCGTTTTAGCCCTGGTTCCAGTGGGTTATCGTAGCTTGATGCGACGTGTAGAGAACGCACACCGGCGACATATACGAGTATTGACTGTGGTTTTAGTCGCTCTGATAGGTGGGTGACAAATAAGATCAGTGTTTCCTCTGATGCAGGTAGCGGGATAAGTGCGTAGTCTGTACAGAATGTTAAAAACTGCCGTTGCGCTGTGCGGTGAGTTTGGTCGGCCAGTCCAGAGGTGAACTAATCTTGGGCCTTTATTTGAAGTTTTCGTAGGTGAGACGGGGCACAAAGGTTGGGTAAGGGCTTGCATGTGGATCCAGACGGCGAAATCTGTTGAGCTGTAAGCGAGAAAGACTGTCAGCTAAGCTATTGTCCACGCCTGCAATATGGACTACACGTTGCAAAATATTGTTTTTAGCGCAAACATAGAACAAATAGCGCAAAAGTGACATTATGTGATTGCATTTGCTAGTTCCTTTTGAAAGAATTCGGACTACTGACATGTTGTCGCAATGAAACAAAATGTTTTTGGTTGATAGTCTATGCGACCATGCTGTGAGTGCGGCGCATATCGCGTACAGTTCCTTAAATGCAATTGAGCGACACAATGGTATCCTGTGGCTCACAAAGGAGCTCATCAACCAATCTCCCATGAAGTACGCGCCAAAAGCGTCATTGGTCGTCATAGAAGAAACTGCAGCCTCTAGTGAGAATAGTGTGTAGTCGTTGAAGTTGCTGAGTAAGGAGTACATTGTTGGTAATTATACGTCGGTATCGTAGAGCTTGGCTGTAAATGGTTCCTAATTTATAGAAGTGGGGGTACTATCTGTGGGTTTAATGTATAGTGTTGAGTGTAATTGTCCTTCCGGGGTTATATATATGCAGGTGTCGGAATGCATTACTTATTTAAGATCAGTGTTTGAAGATCGGCAAGCAAATGTTCCCTAAATATCCTGATGCTGTTTACGCATCCTAAGTTGCTCATTATACTTTGTTATATTTATTTTTCATAGGAAATAAGCTATGATATATTAAATTTCCTCAAACAAACGTAAGTGTCTTTCGGTTAGAAAAGTGCAAAATTCTATAACAGCAGGCAGTAACCATCTTGGGTGTCGCCAAATACTTGAAATGCATTTATAGTCTTTGAGATTTTTGAAAATATGTTCTATCTTTATCCCTTTTTGTGATAATTTTCTGTTAAAGCTTATGGCTTTCCTTTGATTTGATGCGATCGTATGGGACGAAGCCAGTATGTTCCGTCAACGGATGTTGGAACTCGCGAACTTGCTCCACCGCGAAGTATCGCCATCCACAAGCTATGCTTTCGCTGGAAAGCAAGTCAGTTTGGTGGGCGAGTTTCTACAGTTACAGCCTGTTCCTAGCCTATTTGACGAGGGATGTTGTATGTTCAAAGCACCGCTCTTTGACGCTGCCATAACACATCGGTTTTCTTTGACAAAGCTAATGCGCCAAGACGAAAACGACAAGATGTTTTTAAATGCCCTGACTAATCTGAGACTTGGAAATTGCTCTGAAGATTGTGAGACATACTTAAGATCACTCGAGGGAAAGTTATCTCCGACGTTAGAGGAAAAGGCCACTCACATTTTCTTCAGAAAACTACCAGTGGCGATCCATGATAGGACGGAAATACACAAAGTCCCTGGGGAACTGTTGGAGTTCACTGCCTCATACGAAAACGATGTATTAAAAACAATGAGTTGGTCGGGTACTAACACTCTTTATTTGAAAATAGGATGCAAGGTAATGCTTGTATGGAATCTGTCTGACAGTTTAAAAAATGGAAGTACTGGTGTAGTAGTTGGTGTCAGTGAAGATCGAAGTCAGGTACAAGTTCTGTTTGATGGAGTCGGAGTGGAGAGCATCCGCGCTCAAAAGTGGATTAAACGTGACCGGGCTGGTCAAAAAACAGGCAGTGTGACACAGTTACCATTAGTGCTTTCCTACGCCGTGACGTGACACAAGTCGCAAGGTCTGACACTACCAGCCGCTATTGTACACTGCTCCCGTGAATACTTTCTCTGGCCTTATCGATGTTGCTGTGTCAAGAGTTAAATCTGCTACACACATTCAAGTTTTTGATTTCAGTTGCCGCCAACTGCTAAAACCACAGAAAGAAGCTGTCGGCATTTGCTCATCACATCAACTATGCAATCCCTTGCCGGATTTTTCCTGCTGTAGACGTCGCACACTAGACGATGAATATTTTTGCGTACACGACCGACCAAGAGCTTCCTAACGACACTGAAGTGCCACTCCCTTTTCCTTCAGACACCTCAGATGGCCCAGTTTTAAAGCTAATGATGTGAATATTGGCATCACACTAATGGAGACATATGAGGATCTCATTACCAACGAATCACAGCTCGAGAGTCCTCCAGTTGGGTGTATCGATAAGTGCCTCGAATACCTTAAAAGTGAGGTGTTGGACGATCCGGTGCCATCTCCATTTGCAGAGAGGATGAATTATGCTATACAGTATTTACTGCGAGAGACGACTAGGGACAAGCTAATTCGATTTGTCAATGGAACTTGGTATGAGTGTTACCTTTTGATGAAGAAATATGTGGTTGAGAATCCTGACGAGGTAATAGTACACATCGATCGTAGGGGGTTTACTGAGGCAACGTCAAGCCTGCACAAACTATTTGCCACCCCTCGTTTTGCCAAATTCGTTTGCTCTGTCTTCGACGAAGCGCAATGTTAGCCACCTCAGAGAACAATTCTAGTTGAATTAGTGAGATCGTGCATTTTCTGGGAATTTCTTGGCGCACTAGTCCCTCTAGTATCATCTGCAGTAGATTAGCGAAGACATGGGTGTGTCAATTTCAACGTAGACAGTATGAGCGATATAGGAAAGTCTAAGGTGCGTCACGTCGGTGGATGGGCGGTCAGAAAAGTGTTGATGCTTTCAAGAAAGTATAACAAAGAGAACATTAAAACCAAGAATAGCTCAACTCTAGCCACAAACAAAGAAAAAGAGCTAATGTGTCACCTTATGAAGAGAATGTCATACAGCCATATATTTCCAGAATTATATTTCCAAAATTTCCAGAACACCCCGGGGATTCTCCAAGGCAAAATCGCTCAGCACGAAATCGAGGCTTTGTTATTTCAAATCCAATATGGCGGCTCATTCGAGTGCTATTTTCCCAAACCTTGGCTTATCTTTAGACAATTTATTAGCTAAAAAAGAATTGGAAGTTTACAGTGCATTGCAGAGAAACGAAGTGGGCTCGAAGCTTGCAGTGGGTAGTTTCTTTAATGAGCTACGATCAGCAAATGACAAGTTAGTGAAGAAATATGCAGCCACAAACGAGAGGGAAAGATTACACTGTGTCATGGAGATAGCAGGGAAGAAAACAATGGTTGTTAAAGAGATTTCTTACTGGAATAAAACCATAATGAGGAGGATGCGGAAGACTCCAAGGCAAGGGAGCCCCTACAGGATAGATATATCTCACAGACTGAATTCCGAAATCTTTGAATTTTTGAAAGATCTCCTGACATGTGYGACCTCTTATGGAGTGGAGGTAACTCTCAAAAAGAACGTTACAACACTAAAAATTACTTATGAAAGGAAGCTATTGCTATTTTTCAAAGATATTCTTGGYGAGGTTTACAGTGGAATCCCAGAAAMAWTTGTTGATGGSTGTAAAGTGAAGCTGATAGTGTCAAAGGAGAAGTCATTTACCATAAAGTATTCCAAATCTACTGAGAAACTGGACATTTGTTGTTTCTATGGCTTGTGGAATGAGTTCAAAGTTCCACAGCATCTTTAACTGCTGTAAACAAATATAAATAAGGTCATACYGAAGCAATACAAATCTTGTTTGTACAATATTGATTATAATTCAAGTCCAATAATACATAAATTTTTAATGTACAGTCACTGTTAAGAGTCTGACATTTATAAGCCTTGAACTCAGAACTAATATTACTAAACTGACTAAAAGTGTCCAATATTTGGTACCGTATATAAATACTATCAACACATACATTCAATTTAGAGTGCAAAACTTTAAAATTATGAATCAAATTAAATAGCTAGTGCTCTGAGTTGTGGAGATTCCTTAATTTGTTTTCCATTTTGTCTAACCTACATTACATTCTCATTTTTAGCACTAATTGGTCAGTCCTTTTTCATGCTTTTAGTGTTTGCACTCTACTAGAGTGCAAACACTAAATGTGTTAAACAACTATTACTATTTTGTGGCTAGTAAACAGTACTAATGAAACAAATGAAAACAAAAAAATAGAATTAGCATACCATACATCAGCACTATTAAGAGTAAAGTGGGTTTTACACTAATAAACCAGCAGGCTCTAACTGCATTGTTTTTGTGTTAATTTGACTATCATACTTTAATAGTCAGTTCAATGACTTTATTCTGTGATAGAGTGCTTTCAGTTAATCTATGAAACACACATTACTATTTTGTACAAAATAGTACTGGTGAAACAACAGAAAACAAAGGATTTTGTTCACATAATTTTGTTTTACAAAAGTTTCACGGATTAACTGAAAGCAYTCTACAGTAMAACATTTAGGTTGYACTGTTTTAGTGTTTGTACAGCACATACTAACTGTACTAAGTTTTAAATAAAGACTTAATGTTTTGTCTCTCATTATTGTTATATTCTGCTGACTAATAATCTTCATATTGTTGTGTGAATTTACTGTCCAATTGTCTTGTACTCTCTTTTATTAAAAAAAAACATTTATTAGTAATACGGATCTGCTTTTATTCTTCAAG